GGAGATCCAGTATGGTGAGAAGGAGTGACCTCTCCTTTATCTTTGAGGAGGACTGATAGTGGAAGGTAGGCAAATCTTTCCCTCTTGTCCCAGACCCCCCCCCCCCAGGGGGGGAAGGTGTCTTCAAGAAACCCTGGTGCTCGATTCCACACAGGTTTATGAGCTGCATTCTCGGTGCTTGCTTCGTTTATACAGGATAATGGCTGGGCCGTGGGTCTTGCTATAGCTCTGTGTGAGCCAGAAGTGTCCTTTAGAATGCACCCCTGTGATGGGGAGTAATCATGAACAACTGTGTGGTTTAGGGAAGCTTTACCTATCCTTGTCCTTGAGCAGTGACTGTTCTGAACATTTTCTCAAAAGTGGTTTGAGACTGCTCAGTTGCATCAACTTGTGAAGAATGTTGTAGGATACTTTTGAGGTTGAAAGCTGCTCACTGCGCAGATAACGCTTCTGTCGCTCTGTGTGGTCTGTAATCAGCTCTGTTACATGTTTGCTAATCTTAACCACCATATTTTTCTGTAATACTGGGTTCCAAGCGTGATGGCAAAAAGTTTTTCTTCTTAGACAATCCCACCAAAGCTGAGAGGAATCCATGAGAATCTTTTATTCCGAGTTAGGATCCTGTACATGGGATGGAAGAATGTATTAAAGTCTTCAGGTGACAAGCATAAGATAAAAAGCTCTTCTGCTTCTCTTTTGTTCTCCCAGTTCCTGTTATTACTTTGTTTTTCCTTGGCAGTTTTTCTGCTCCTGCCAGAGTTGGTTTCTTATGCATGTTTTCTGATGCTGTCTGACTCACTGTCCAGGGGGAGGAGAGCATGTGTTGGGGCCAGAGGTCATTTCGGGGGGGAACGCGGGGGAACGCAGTTCCCCCGGGTGAGGTGCAGGGGGCGGGGCACATGACGAAGCCCCGCCCCCTGCTTCCGGCCGCCCCGCTTCCAGCCCTCATTCAGCCAGGAGGAGGCAGGAGAAGAGGGAGGATAAGTCGCTTCCTCCCCGCCTCTCCCCACCCCTGCCTGCCTGGGGCCAGGGAGGGCCTTGGCGAGGCTGTCTCTCTCTCCCGCTGGCCTTGCAGGTCCACCTCCGGGCCCCTGATGTCAGGGGGTGTGGCATATGCTAATGAGTTATGCTAATGAGTTCCCCTAGCTCTTTTTCTACGAAATGACCCCTGGTTGGGGCCATAACTTGTGCTTAGTTGTTGTGGCTTTTCTTGTCTTTTCTAGTCTCCTTGTCTTTTCTAGTTTCTTTCCTGCTAATTTGTGATGTGGGGTGAGGGATTACACCATCTTAGATTTAGGAGGCGTCTAAGGGATCATCCAAGTTGATCATCGTCCTAAGACAGGATAGGCTATATGCAAAGCTCATCTGAAAACACCATGGGTGTGTGTCTGCTTTGCATGCAGAAGGTCCCAGGTTCAATCCCCAGTACCTCCAGCTGATCAGGTAGTAGATGAAGGGCCCTGGAGAACTGATGCCAGTCTGCATGTACAAATGTTGCCCTTAACAGACCAATGGTTTGATTTGGAACAAGGCAGCTTTATGTGTACTTTGGAAAGATTCCTGATAGTGAGTTTTCGGATTCATGAGCTGTTTATAGCCTACTGCTTAGCTGTTCTCACACTTAGGGAAATTCTTTGTAATGATTTGATATTGTTAGAAAGCTAGTCCTCTGTTGGAGCACATTGGCTTGATCCTGTATGGTGGTCCATAAAAATCTATCTAACCCACTGCACTGTCTCCACTGGAATTCAGTTACAAGTTTTGGGCACTGGGCTATAGAAGTAACTTTCCCATTTGTTCTTTGTATGTAGTAATCAGGGGATTTTTTTTCTGAGCAGGATACAGGTCGTGGCAGTAATTTATCTAATTTGTTGTTTTCAAAAAGAACTGGTTTGTAACTATCATGTCATCTGGGTCAATTAATTTTTATGAAGTACATATTGATATGCAGTACTATTTCTGTTGATCCTGAACCTCCAGTATACATTTAAGGTTACACTCCCCTCCCAGTATGCTAATTTAAGGTTACACTCCCCTCCCAGTATGCTAATTTTTTCAAACTGACTCTCTGCTATAGAACAAAACAGCAACCCCGTTTTTCAGTTATTTTGGCTAAATCTGTAGAAAGAAGGCTGCAGCTCAACTATCTGGTGACTCTCTGTAGGCCAGCCAAGCCAGGTCTCCTCTGGAGCAATGCCCTCAGGTCTAGAAAACAAGGATTGGGAGTATGGATAGGTGCTGGCAGCCAGGAGCTGGAAATGATGGCATGGAGCTGGTACACAGGCTTGCACTTAGTGGACTGGTTGATCCAGCAAGGTAGCTTTCCCAAGCCTCGGCCCAAACAGGCTGGGAAGTAATCAGGTTCAGCTGGCCTGGATCCTGCAAAGAACTGTTGTTCTCATTTTCTGGCTCTGGGATGGTGTTACATGCAGCCAGTCAAGCACTTCACCTCCTTTGGGCCACCTTGGCCTGAAAGCACCCCCCGGATGGCCTTGGGCTTGAGTGTTAGTCCTACCCAGAGGGTGCCAGGGTGACTCCTTCAGGTACTAGTGAGGCCTCTCTTGCAGGCTCAGGCAAGATGGCCTCTGGTACTGCTGGACCTTTGTCAGTAGGTGCCTCTGTGGTGGTGGACCCTCCCTGACCCCCCTTGTCCTTACCCACTGGCCTTGGCTCCTCAGGTGCCTCCCCTGAAGATTCTGACTCACTGGACTGGTCAGAGGGGATCATGACAATTTCATGTACTTCCAAGAACAGCATATGAAATACAGGAAGCTTCTTAACCAGAAGAAAATAGAAAAAATGAATCATGACACAGTGGTCACTGAAACAGCCTGTTTCCCAGGTTAGATTGTAAAACAGGAATTCATAACCTGGTCTGACAACTTCAGTGAGACCTCCCCGACTGTGCATAGTGCTTGTGCGAAGGAAGATACGGGGCTGGTGTCATACGCATGCACATATGAAGCTCTGTAAAAAGGTCACAGACATGGGACTTCTATGAAAGTCGCTTTGGGAGCATATTCATATATTGGAGGTAAGAGTAGCCCTCTTGACAAGGGATCATGTACCAAGTGGATAATCTGTTACAAGCCCAGATGCAAATAGCATACCAAAAGAGTCCCTGGGTGACTGTCCAGTCTCTGAAAGTTATCCTACTTTTTCAGTGTTTTATATTTCTGCTGTAGTGATACATTCAAAAGGCAAACACTGGGATAGATAATGCAGCCTATGGCAATAGCCCTACACAGGGCTGGGTATTTCACTGTTGTTGCACTACAACAATCCTTTGCAACTGGATTGCACAGGAAAATCTGCTTATGAATGGTTACTCTAGTGCCATATCCTGTGATGTGTGGATGCAGCCATGGGCTACAGGGTGGCCAAACTGCAGGTTGGGAGCCGCATGCACCTCTTTTACACTGTGTAATTTAATGTTAATAAAAAGCAAATTTGGATATTTTTCAATAAAAATGCGTGTAATATTTGTTCATGTCTTGCGGCTCTCAAACATCTGACGTTTATTCTGTGTGGCTGTTATGTTAAGCAAGTTTGGCCACCCCTGGGCTACAGAATCCCACTCCAAGAACTTTAAACTCACTTCTGGAACAAAGTGTCAATTCTGTCTGCCTGTTCAGTTTAAGGCAGTTTATACTAGATTCGTTGTCTGACTGATAACACAAAAATGAAGCTTTCAGACATTGAAATTCTGAAGCCGTCTTTTCCTAGGCTTCACAAAGCTTAATTTTGTGGTCAGAATTGCAGAGCCAAGGTGAATTGGCCTGTTTACCCCTCCCTCCCTTTTACCTTATGGTTTTATTGAGCTGATTTGTATTTTTACAAGCTTTGCTTGTAAGACCACACTTAGAGAGTGTGGTTTTATTGTTAAAAATTGGCTTGAGGGTTTAAAATGATTTAAATGAGGAATGGTCCTTTTTAAAGAATCATCAGTTCCACTAAATATGATAGGTATACCTTCAACTAATTCTGCAGCTCCATACATTTCTCTTTAAAATATGTTAGTATGAGGACACTCTAGTATGAGGACACTCTTTAATCTGATGTGGCTGGGTAGTTTATTTACCCAAAGTTAAGTGTGCTGTGATGGACAGAGTATTGGACTTCTCTTGCAATGGCCTGGGTTAAAATCCTTGCTTTGCCATGATACTTGTTTGCTGTG